GGGTGGCAGGGCAGGTTTCTCCTCAAAAGCCCCCGTGCCAGGGACAAAAGCCACCCCGAGGTGACAACCCACCTCCTGGGGACCTTCCAGACCCTTCCGGGGAGCTCCTAAATCCCTCAGGAAAACCTGTAGGCCCCTCTGAGGAGCTTCCAGATCCCTCCGAGACCCACGAAAGAGCTCCTACCACTTTCTGAGCATCTTCCAGAACCTTCTAGACTCTTCCAGACCCCCCTGAGGAGCTTCCAGAACCCTCCGAGAGCCCTCAAAGAGCTCCTAGCACCTTCTGAGCATCTTCCAGAACCTTCTAGACTCTTCCAGACCCCCCCGAGGAGCTTCCAGAACCCTCTGAGAGCCCTCAAAGAGCTCCCAGTACCTTCTGAAGGGTCTTCCAGAACCTTCTAGACTCTTTCACACCCTTCTAGACCCCTCTGAGACCCCCAAAGAGCTCCTAGCCCCTTCTGAGGGTCTTCCAGAACCTTCTAGACTCTTCCACGCCCTTCTAGACCCATCCAAGGAGCTTCCAGACCCCTCCGAGACAACTCACCACCCCCCAAAAGAGCTTCTACCCCCTTCTGAGGAGATTCCAGACCCTTCTAGACCCCTCTGAGGAGCTTCCAGAACCCTCTGAGAGCCCTCAAAGAGCTCCTAGCACTTTCTGAGCGTCTTCCAGAACCTTCTAGACTCTTTCACACCCTTCTAGACCCCTCTGAGGAGCTTCCAGAACCCTCTGAGAGCCCCCAAAGAGCTCCTAGTACCTTCTGAGCATCTTCCAGAACCTTCTAGACTCTTTTACACCCTTCTAGACCCCTCTGAGACCCCCCAAAGAGCTCCTATCCCCTTCTGAGGCTCTTCTAGAACCTTCTAGACCCTTCCACGCCCTTCTAGATCCCTCTGAGAAGCTTCCAGAGCCCTCTGAGAGCCTCCAGCCCCTTCTGAGAGGGTTTCCAGAACCTTCTAGACCCCTTCCACGCCCTTCTAGACCCCTCTGAGGACCTTCCAGAACCCTCCGAGGAGCTCCTAGCTCTTTCTGAGGGGCTTCCAGAACTTTCTACCCTCTTCCACACCTTTCTAGACCCCATCCTCTGAGAAGCTTCAAGACCCCTCCAGACCCTTCTGGAAAACTCCGTGATGCTTCTAGAAAACTCTCTCTGGCTCTCCCAGAAGCTTCCAGACTTTTCCAAGGGAGCTTGTAGATGTTTCTAGACCCTTCCTTGAAGGGGGTTCTAGACTGTTCTAGATGATTCTTGGAGGGGAAGGAGGAAGGGGCTCACCGGGGGGCTGCGGGGGAAGATGGTGGGGACGGCGTCGGGGCGCAGGTAGCGTACGCCCCAGCGGTACTGGAAGCAGGAGGGCTCGAAGTGGTCGCTGCAGAGGTGCTGGTGGCGGGTGGGCACCCAGTTCTCCTGCCGCATCTGCGCCAACCACTGCCGCAACCGCGCCGCGTCCTGCAGCGGGAACCTGGCGGGGGGGGAGCAGGAGGGGTTAACGCTTGGGGGTGGGGTGGGGAACACGACACGACTGCCCCACACC